AAACGAAGAACAGAGTCTCTCCGGCGAGATTACCGACGCAACTCCGATAACTTCGCCTGAGAGTTTGTCACAATTAATATAAAATAAATGGGTCTTCCTTTGTTGTCTTGGAGAGTCGCTTTCTCTTCGTCTTTGGAGTAGTAGTAATTGTAGTTCTAGGCTTTTCGGCGAAACGTAACCGGAAGAGAAACCCACGATTAGAGGTTTATCTGTACCTTCTGTAGATGTAACTCCGGTGGTCGGAGGTTTCAGTAGCGGCGAAGATCGGTGCTATTGTTAGGTTAAGTTATGGAATCGGGTGAGTGATCTTGAACCAATTTTAAAGAATCAAATTAAAGATCAAAATTTCTTTCTTGATTTCGAAGTTTTGAGACTTTTGTGTGTGATTGATCGTGGAATTGCCAAACAGCAACAAACCCAGCAAAGAGATTAAAGATCCATGTAAGTTTCAATTAATTTTCTTGCAATTTAAAGTATGATCTATGAATCACGATACTTTATCAGATTAATAAATGTCTATATTTGATTCTTTGTATTTTTGTTTTGTTCCAGTTTACGAAGAATTATTTTAAAGCTTCACCGACAAAGAGATTAAAGATCCAAGGACAATTTTTACCTTGAAGATTTGGTACATGTTCTACTTATCATAACAGCCTCTCACAAAAGTTTTTTTTGTTTTTTAATGATGCTTTCAAAAAATTTAAACTGATTTGACAAAAAGATTTCACTGAATATTTTAGGTTTTTTTTCCCGTATTTTTAATCAACAAACTTTGACTTTATTTTAGGTTTTTTTTCCCGTATTTTAGGTTTTTTTCTCTTTTTTTCATTGAGTTTTTAAAATTTATTTGACTTTATCTTTTGTTTTCACCGAATATGTTAGATTTTTAATTAAAGAAATGTGGGTATGAAAATTACTTATTTGTGAAGATCATTCGGAGGTAGGATCCTATCATTGACTTTGTCTTTGGTCGTTAGCGGTGCTAAATTCGTTGTGTCAACACAATATAATGTAAATTTAATACTCACAATTCATATTTATTTTTCATTAACCTTTTAAATATATAAAACTATTATTCTTTCACCAAATATTTTACGTTTTTTGGATTTTAATTTTCATAAACTTGAGTGTTAAAATTACATAGTTGTGAAAACTTTTCGGACGTGGAATCTTGTCGTTGACCATTGTCTTTGATCGTTAGCGGTGCCAATTTCTCTTGGTTAACACGATATATTGTTAATTTATAATACTCAAGGTTATGAAAATATATTTTAATCAATGAGTTTTTAAAATTTATTTACACCGATTATTTTGATGGTTATAGAATTTCAAATCTTTTTCTTTTAGTGAGAGGTGTCTTTCATATTGTAATGTACGGGAATGTAGTACTCCAAGTTTGTAATTTTTAATTTATTTTTCACTATGTATAAATTTTGTAATTAATTAAATAATCTCAAGTGTTTAATTGCTTACTTTTAAAAACAAAAATTGAATGATACATTGCATAATTCTGAAAACAATATATTGTAATGTACGGGAATGTAGTACTCCAAGTTTGTAATTTTTAATTTATTTTTCACTATGTATAAATTTTGTAATTAATTAAATAATCTCAAGTGTTAAATTGCTTACTTTTAAAAACAAAAATTGAATGATACATTGCATAATTCTGAAAACAATATGAACATAAAAGATTCAGATTGATTATTAAATTCTATATTGGACAACTTTCTGAAATTTGATGATATCGTTTGTACTGTTTAGTGAAACTGTACTTTCTGAGATTGTTACTATCATAACTAGGACTCGAACCCCCGCGATTTAGGGAAAAAAATTATTTGTTAAAACCAATTAAAATTATATTTAACGTGATGATAAATAAATATATAATGTAAATGTTTTTAGTGGTAAAAATAAAAAGATGAAAAGGTATTTGCAAACGCACAAAACTACAAACTATTTTTTAGAATTATGGAAAATTTGTTATAAATGAAAAGATCAAAATATTATGAGAATGTGATGCAACCATATAATAAACTAGAGATTGTCTACGCGTTGCGTGGATTTAAAAATTAACATGATATGTAGCAAAAAATAATAATTAACATGGTAAAATATACAGCATTTCTAGCTTATTGATTATATGTGTATTTAATATTACAAGAAATTGTTGTTGTACTGAGTAATAATCTCGATTAGAAGATTAACCACTTGTAGCAATTTGTTGGACATATGCAATTAGTGATATATGTGAAAAGAATAAGACTGTTCATTAATAAAAATTACAGCAAATGCATAAGAAAAATATCTTCTTTTGCACAAATCCGTAACTTGTATGTCTTTAATTTATCAATATTCACTACGGTTCCCTAAAAAAATGATTGGTCGGCTTGTTTCTTGCACCAAATACATTTGTTAAAAAAATCAGACAAGTTGTAAAATGTTTTGCTTCTATCGAGACATCTGCATTATCTCAAGAGATATATTGGAATACATCTTCGTGTTTGATTTCGTTAGAACCTTAAATTATAAAGAAAGAATAATTGATGTTTGATTGTATTTTTTTGTCGCACTCTTTTTATCGCTTTTCTATGATTTTTATCTTTCACATCGATTCATTTGTGAATTATTATGTTTTTCTAGATTTACAATTTGTGGAGGAGTAATGTTTTATTTCGAGAGTATTGGTTTAGAGATGATTGACAAATTTAGCATTTTAATAATATTTAAATTTCTAAAATCACTAATTAATTTTCTCACAGCTTTTTTTTGTTAACGTTACGATTCTTTTTATACAAGATTTTTGTGATTTTTTGTTTTCAAATCGTAGTTATCTATCTAAAGTTTTAAGTGTTTTTGTATTATATATTGCTTGGTTTAATAAATAAAATATATATTTTCAAACCGTCAAAAGTTTACAATAACACATTTAATTTGGAATTATAATTTAGGTGGATATCAAAGAAAGAAAAAAACTGAAATTGGTCATCCTTATGTTACATTTTAATTTTTGTAATTAATTTTCATTAAACTTAGCTATTAAATTATAGAAATTAATTGTTAAAGTTATAAGAAACACTTAATATTGAAAAGTAAATAAATTAAAAATAAATGTCAAAATATAAGTGACAAATAAATGTCAAAATAATAAGTGACACGTGGCATTCTCTCATGATTTGAGTTTAGAAAAAATTTAAAATATTATATAAGATTAACAATAATAAACGAGTTTTTCAAAGAAATAACTATATGATTAATTAATAATTATAAAACCATTTTTTCGAAGAGGCAACCGGATAAGATTTATTAATAACTATTAAAACTTTTTTTTTCTTCTGAAAAGACGCAACACTAAAATGCATTAATAATCATAAAATGGTTATTCTCGAAAAGACACTACCATATAATATATTATATTTATAAAACGGTTTTTAAATATGCAACTTGATGATGTATTAATAACCATAAAATGCTTTTTACAAAAAATGTAACCATATGAAACATAATAATAAAACAGTTTTTTTAAAAGATGTAATTTTACATTAGACCAATTTTTTCAAAAGACGCAATCCCACGATGCATTAATAACCATTAAACGAAATTTTTAGAAAATATGCAATCCTAAGATGAATTAATACCAACAAAACAATAACTATTCAAAAATACAACATTAAAATCCATTAATAACCATAAAACGGGTTTTCTAAAAGAAGCAACCCTGAGAGACATTAGTAACTAAAAATAATTTTTCGAAAAGACACAAACCTAAGAGACACTAATAACCATAAAAATTTTGTTTGAGAAGACGAAACACTTATAACCTAGAATGTAAACTATCAAAAAAAATTTTGAGAAGATACATCTTTACATAAACCAATTTTTTTCCAAAAAGACGCAACCCTAGGATGCTTTAATAACTATAAAACCAACTTTCTCGAAAAAACGCAATTCTTGGATGTATTAATAACCACAAAATGGTTTTTACTAAGAAGACGCAATCAAATCATGCATTAATAACTATAAAACGGTTTTTTTAGAAAGCCACAATTCTCAACGACAATGCTAACCATAAAAAAGTCTAAAAGACGCAACGCTTAGAGATTAATAACCAAAAATCATTTTTTCAAAAATCCAATCCTAAAAAATATTAATAACCGTAAAACATTTTTTTTTAAAAAGACGCAACCTAAGTGACATTAATAACCATTAAACGTCTCAAAAATGTGTAACCCTAAAAGACACTAATAACCATAAAACATTTTTTCTGGAAAGATACAACCCTAGCGTTAATAACCATAAAATAGTCGTTTTTTAAAAAGAAACAACTCTAAAATATATTTCCCAGGATTGCTATTATTGATAGCCATTTCTAAAATTATTATTTAAATAAAGAAACAAAATATTGTGAGATTCTAAAATAATTTTTGACATTTTTTTATCACATTGAGTGAATTTTAAAGTTAGTAATCATAAATTCAAAAACACAAATATTAGAGATTCAAAAACACAAATCTATATAGAAGTGTTTTTTAAAAAGATGCAACCATAGAGATTAAAAACTATAAAACGTTTTTTTCGTAGTTGACTACGTTAAAAATATAGTTACAAAAAAACAATATACATAGTTAACTATTGAGGAGGAGGATTGTTTTTTTAAATGTAAAAATTTGAAAATTTGAAAATTTAAGTGGATTAAATACTAGTTACTATATTATGTTTTACATGTTGTTAGACAATAAATTATAGATGAAAAGAGTATAAACTAATTTCTCTAGAAACAATAACCAAGAGTTTAAGAGGTGGTGATATGACAAAATTAAACGAATTATTTCCGTTTTTTTTTTTTGTTATCAGCAACAAGCATTGTGTCGGACTTACAAAAGTCGAAGCTTTGAGAATGGCTATAGTGGAATTACAAAAGCTAGGCTATCGGAATGTTACATTTTGTATTTTGTGGAGATCTTCAAAAGGTGTATGCAATGTTACAATGTCAAGATCTTGATCTTGAGTCTCCAAAGGTGAAGCATCTCCCTTATATTATACAATTTCAAGATATAATTCGGATAGCAAAACCTTATAATTTTACTTTTCTTAAGGTTTCACATGAGGCTAATGATTGTGCCGATCATTTAGCTAAACATTTTAGGTTGCATTATCAAAGATATATTGTACAATGGCCAATGTAATGTGTTGTGATGAATAAATTCATTGGATGAC